AAAGTTCCAAAATAAAAGAAGACTTACTATGATCTTCAATCCTGCCCTACTCTAAAAAAAGTAGGGCTTATGCCACAAATTGTGGCTCGAGGACAGGGCTAGGGCAAGGGCTAGTACCAGACTGGTACGTCCCTTTTTTAGTTTTGATTGATTAAACTATAGGCAACGTCTACACAAAGTTAGAACGTTAGAGGTATGCACTAGAATCTAAGGGTTTTTAAAATTAGCCCAGCCAAGACAAAATATATAGAAGGTAAGTTTAGTCATAATAGGAGTAGAAAAGAGGAAATAATTAAGATTGATGGTTAATAAATACCTAAAAGAGATTGTTTTCAACATTTAGGGTTGATAATCTAGGAGAATGGAGAGATTGAGGAAGATATTGCACATGGAATTAGAGCTGAGTGGACAAATTTGAGATGTACGTCAAGAAATTTATGTGATCGCCGTATATGAGTGAGATTGAAGGTGGAGTTCTCTAAGGCCTTTAAGACCAACCATGCTTTTATGGAACATAATGTTGGGCGGTCAAGGAACAACATATCCTTAGGTTGAGTGTAGTTGAGATGAAGATATCGAAATGGTTGTGGCTAGACAAGGAATGATAAAATTCAGAATAAATATGTACAAGATATCTTAGGTAGGACTTCAATAAGAGATAAGATGAGGAAAAGTATGTTAGGAATGGGTGGGTGAAAATTGGGCAAAAAGATAGTACAAATTCTGAAAATTGAAGCTTCAAACCTTCTTATTTTCGAGCACACAAGAGCGCTATCTTAAGACAATATTTGCCCCCAACCCCCGCTTTCGGTACTCTTTTTGATGTACATAAGAAGGGCAATCCATCCTCGAGATATAGAAAGCTGAGACGTCTCTTTTGGGGTTTCGAAGCTCTGTGCACCCGAGTTTGAAACATACACACTAGACATCAGAGTCTTATGAAGTCTTAGCCAGAGAAAGAGGAAAAACAAGTAGAGAGCGAGATGAATCCACTTTTATCTCCCAGGTTTTTCAGGGAAATATGTTAGTCCCAATAAATGAAAATCAATACATAAATAAATAAACTCGATAAACAACTTACACGGATATGTCCTTAAATCACACGAGGGACTTAAAGTTCCGTACCAAATCCTATAGACCAAGCCATCAGGTGACAGGCTACCTTGAAAGTTCTTTTGGTGAATCTCCTTCACCTTCCATCTTTATTTTTCTATTAGCTTTTTCTTTTTTCTTTAGAGGGGTTAACATCATTTTATAAAGAACACATTAGTTTGTAACTCTCATATTCATGGTCTATAGGAGTTGAGATCCAAATGTAACTCCTGCCTTAATTCCCTCAAGTTTAGCTAATTAGGATTAACAAATTGTCCCCAAATTGTTAATCATATGTAATGAGCTAAACATGTCATTAGTCCACTAATGACTCATGTAATAGGATGTCATCTAAGCATTCCCACAATTTACAAGGAAACCAAATACACTACTGGGTTTTTCCTCCAGTGGTACTGAGTTTTTTCCTCCAGAGATACATCCTCTTAAAGCTAAAAAATGGATCTATGTATATGACAGTGCCTCATGTTAACCACATGTGATTTCACATATACTTCAATATGGCTTTTGTATCATTATTGGAAAAATGAGTTTCTGAAAGAAAAAGGTCCCGATAGGCTACATTTCCAACAAAATGTATGTTGAGAGCTCAAAAGTGTGTTGGAATTGATAGGCTCAAAAGTATGCTGGAATTCACTCTCTCGTATGGGAAAAGGACCCAATTATAGTGCAAAGTGTATCATTAAACGCCCTTGATGTGCACGTGCGCGTCACATGCGTCGCGTGCTCCACACATGTACCGTGTCTCTCACCTTTATATTAAGAGTATAAGATATGTGAATACCTACTCTTAAATACCACTTGATTAACACTCTCCTCTTTAATGTAGCAATCAAACCCACAACTTTCTCTCTTTATAAAAACATATTAGGAAAAGAACCATAAAATCATTACTATTTTGAAATACATACAAGTATATATAAAATAAAAAATACTAACAAAGTAGACTTAGGTGGGCTAGCTGAGTGTAGCGTAGAGCTATTACAACACCGGTTAGGAGGTTTGATTTGGTTCAAGTCAAAGGCTACCCAAAAAGACATGGTTGGAGATTTTGAAAAAAGATATTATGACTTTTGGTTTTACTGAAGGTATGACCTTGATAGAGAAGAATAACAGAACATAATTCATATGGCCGATCCTAAATACTTAGAATATGACTTGGACAAGGGCCCGCCCCATTTTAACCCTTAGTTGGAGGCAATATCAAGGGCATATAGATCATGTGAATAAAATGTCACAAATATGTGAGACCTTTTCTCGAAGTTATAAAGCTATACCGTAGTACGTCCCAGTTTGAGGGTTGGTAACAAGTCAGTCTTAACATGAACTGTTAACCGCCTCAAACAACGTTAGCTTTACCCCTAAGGGATGATCCCAACAACTTAGCTTTAAGATAAACAGTCATCTCTCTCTATCTCTTTCTCTCTCTACACTTATAATCTCTCTCTCTACAGTTATAAGTACAGGACAGCATTGAAGCATTGGTTCTTGCAGATTTAAAGATGAATTTTGGCATGTTGGAGTAGGCAAAGAGGCACCCAACCCCTTGTAAACTACTCCACTTTCGCTTGAAGCATGGTTTCACACATTGGCATTCTTTCCCCTCCGGAAAACGTTCCCCCCAAGATCTCAATGCTGAGGAAATGCTCCCTAGCGACATGGATGAGGAAGATGCAGAAACAAATGTCTCTAATCTCTAAAACTTCATCGCTCATCCTCTCTCTATGTGTCTTGCATATCACAACACGAAGTTATGCACAGGCAAAACCAGTGTTCGACAAATCAGCCTATCCAACTCAGAACCGGCCATTAGCTGAGCGGCTTTTGGCCGGTATAATTGGTCTAGCCGGTTATACTAAAAAAGTTCAAAAAATTATATATAAAATCCTAAAAATTGAGGAATTTGTTTTTAATGTTTTTTATTTTTTTATTTTTTTTAGTTTTTATTATCATTTTAGCAAAAATTGGAATGTATTTTGGCCATGTTTACATTTTTCCTTTTTTTTTTAGATTGTCTAAAATACCACACAAATTGATTTTTTAAAATTCATATTTTTCACTACTTTTCAAACTTCATTAGGATATGCTTTGTTTGATTATGTTTTAAATATTATTTTCATAATTTTTAGGATTTGTATTTTTTGTTAATTTTTTCTAACACTTTTTGACCTTCCTGGGACCTGCCTGGTTAGGCCCGTTTCTGGGTCTGGTTCGATTTGTCAAATACTTTGCGAAACATTCATATGATTCAAGAATCTAACATCTCTCTGGAATCCCAGCGTATTGTTTTTGCAGTTAGAAGACTCGCATTGGAAGCAAGGCACCGGCACAAAGATAGCTCTCTCTGTGAAGGCCTCAAATGGGTAATCTCGCCTGTCACCGGAGAGTTAACCATCGCTCCTGTGGAAGAAGAAGCGAAGCCTCTACTCGCCTATTTGCACAGCAAATTTGGGTTCAACATATCACTACAAGTCAAAGAAAATCAAGAGAGAGAAGGACATGAAGAAGAAGAAGAAGAGGAAGAAGAAGAAGAAGTGTGGTTCTCAGTGAGGAGTGATTTATCGTGTTGTTCGAGCCCGGTAGAGAGAAAAGAAATTTTTCTAGACTGTGCATGGAGGTCTCTGTTGGAGAAGTTGAGTTTCTGTGAGGGATGGCCTTTTGGTCTGTATCGTAGGAAGATGATGCTTCCTCCTTTGCCTAGATGCCCCTCAGAACCATGGATGTGGCGCAAGGCCACGTCTAATACTTGTTAGCCCTATGATGTCAATGTTCTTGCTCAATGTGTGTTGTATTGGCATTTATGCAGAAAGATATATAATAATAGATTAATAATAATAATTGTCTTTGTTGACGTGATTTAGAAATTTTACTTTACATTATTGTTTCCTTCTCTGTTCGGATCTTAGAAACCGTTTGTTGCATAATCTTATCAAATGGTTCTTCAATTTATAATTGCCCAAATGGTAATTTGGTGGATTGTTATTTGTTCCCTTTGGATGTTTTCTTGTGACAATTGGAGTTATAAATTATTATGATGGGGTGTGATGGTAATGGTTGTAGTGATAGTGTGATGGTGAAATATAGTGTGACAGTGGTGGCAATGCAATGGTAGTAGGAGTGTTGGTGGTGGTGGTGGTGGCCGCGATTGTTAGTCTTAATTAAAATAATAACAATCCTAATAAATAGATAATAGATAAATAACATTAATAAACAATTTACTCAGATCTATCCTTAAATCATAGAAGAACTTAAGGTTTCATATCAAACGTTATAGACCAAGCCATCTGGTGACATGCTAATACAATTATGATACCAATTGATGTAAATTGATGTAGAGAAATAATAACACCATAAAAATAAAAAGAAAAACGAAAAGGTTCGAGAGAATATACCATCTCTCAAGATCTGCAGGGGAATTCACCCCAAGCTTGAGAGAATATACCCTTTCTTAATATCTGCAAGGGAATTCACCCCAAAAATCTCTTCATAACTCATCCACCATTTTTACAATGAAGGGAAATGTCCCTTTTAATAGACTTAAAAAAAAAAGAAAAGAAGTTAAAGAACTGACATTCCTATTTTATCTCCCTATTTTCTCTCATCCCTATCTTTTCTCTCTTAAATTCACGTGCACTCCATCACGTACTAAAAAAATATCTTCTCTCTTAAACTACGTTTTATCCAAAACATTCCCAAGTTGAAAAGATAAACCCCTTAGATTTAACCTTATCATATTTGTATTCCTAAACTAACTAACCCAATCCATAAATATCAACTCACACATAAACTCAATGCCCACAAATATCCCTGTGCACCTCCTCTCTTATTCCTGAAGAGATCAACTAAAGAATAATAAAAAATTAAAATAACCCTAATATTATTTGCATCATTCTCCCCAGGTTGGGTGAAGCTCGACCTCGAGCTCAAAAGTTGGTGATGAAGTCCCACCATGAGCGTCGATACTTTTTCTTCAAGACTGATGTGTGTTCCAAGAGTAATTGTTGAATACTAGCTTCGACTGATTATTCCTAACTAGGAATGGATCCGGCTTCAAAAAAACACCAAGTTCAATCGAAGAACACCCTTGACCGTGAAATTTTGGGAGATTGATTTTAATGTCAAAATTTCGTGGTCGTCTATAGGACGCGGCGGATATGGCTTCTCTATAAATCACGGTGGATCTAGCTTGTAAATTTCTTTAATATACTTGAAATCAACACCTTGGATTTGTCGTGGAATTACTGGTGCAAGATGAATGTGGTTGTGAGTACTTTTGGACAACGAAGATTGTTCTCCAACCGCTGCAACCTCTCATTCATCTCTTGATTCATCTCACGTACTTCAGTTCAAAAATCGTCTAGGGCTTTAGTAAAATTTTCAACCCAACGATAATCTATAGCAGGAGTAGACTCTCAAGGTCTGTAAGGGAATTCACCCCAAGATTGAAAGAATATACCCTCTCTCAAGGTCTGCAACGGAATCCACCCCAAAAATCTCTTCATGATAGTAAATTTTATTCAATTCATCAACTTTTTTACAATGAAGGAAACCTCCCTTTAAATAGATTAAAAAAATAAGATAAGCAAAAAAACTCTCTCTACACTTTTCCAATTTTATCTCTTCTTTCCTATTTTCTCTCTCTTAAAATCACGGGCCAAATATTTGCTTCTAACCCATGTTTTACCCCAACGTTACTTGTTGTTGAGAAGATAAACCCCCCTTAGATCCAACTTTATCTTATTTATACTCCTAAACTACCTCCCCAAATTTAACCTTATCTATTTATATTCAAAACTAACTAACACAAATCAATCAATAACTAATTAACCCAAATCAATCATTATCAACTCACGTACAAAACTCAATGCCCAAAAATATCCCTGTGCACCTCCTCTCCTATTCTTGAAGAGAGAAACTAAATAATAATAAAAAATTAAAACAACCCTAATATTATTTGCATCATTCTCCTCGAGTTGGGAGAAGCTCGACCTTAAGCTCAAAAGTTGGTGATGAAGTCCCACCATGAGCCTTGATACTATTTTTTCAAGACTGATGCCTGCAACTATGTTCCAAAAGTTATTGTTGAATACGAGCTTGGGCTGATTTTTCCCAACCAGGAATGGATCCAACTCCAAAAAATAACCAAGTTCAATCGACGAACACGCTTGACCATGAAATTTTGGGAGATCGATTTTAATGTCAAAATTTCGTGGTCGTTCTATAAGACGTGACAGATCTGGCTTCTCTACAGAACACGCCTGATCTGGCTTATAAATTTCTTTAGTATGCTTGAAATCAACACCCTACATTTGTCATGAAATTACTGGTGCAAGATGAATGTGGTTGTGGGTACCTTTTTCATGTTGTTCTCCAACCGCTGCAACCTCTAATTGATCTCACGTACTTCAGTTCGAAAATCCTCTAGGGCTTTAGTAAAATTTTCTACCCAACGATAATCCATAATAGGAGTAGGATTAGCTAGATTGCTTAAATCTAATTTGCTAGCTTGATTACTTAGATCTAACTTGCTCTCAGGATCTAACTTGCTCTCTAGATCTGACTTGCTCTAATCTAACTTGCTCTCTAGGTCTGACTTGCTTTGATACCAATTAATGCAGCTCTGAGATCAATTGATGTAAATTGAGAAACTAAATCCAATAAAAAAAAAAAAAAAGGTTGAGGGAATATATCATCTCTCAAGGTCTGCAAGGGAATTCAACTTAAGGTTGAGAGAATATACCATCTCTCAAGTTCAGCAAGGGAATCCACCCGAAAAATCTATTCACGAGACCAAATTTTATTCAACTCATCAACTTTTTTACAATGAAGTGAAGCATCCCTTTACATAGACTAAAAAATAAGATAAATCTTAACAAAAAAACTCTCTCTACACTTTTCCTATTTTATATTTTCTTCGTTATTTTCTCTCTCTTAAAATCACGTGCCAAATATTTGCTTCTAACATATGTTTTACCTCAACTTTGCTTGTTGTTGAGAAGATAAAGCCCCTTTAGATCCAATCTTATCCTATATATACTCCTAAACAACCACCCCTAATTTAACCTTATCTATTTATATTCCAAACTAACTAACCCAAATCAATCAATAACTAATTAACTCAAATCAATCAATATCAACACACGCACAAAACTCAACCCACAAATATCCCTGCTCACCTTCTCTCCTATTCTTGAAGAGATAAACTAAAGAATAATAAAAAATTAAAATAACCCTAATATTATTTGCATCATTCTCCCCTGGTTGAGAGAAGCTCGACCTCGAGCTCAAAAGTTGGTGATGAAGTCCCACCATGAGCCACGGTATTCTTTCTTCAAGACTGATGCCTGCAATTGTGTTCCAAGAGTAATTGTTGAATACGAGCTTAGGCTAATTATTCCCTACCAAGAATGGGTCCAGCTCTAAAAAAACACCAAGTTCAATCGATGAACACCCTTGACCGTGAAATTTTGGGAGATTGATTTTAATGTCAAAATTTCGTGGTCGTCTATAGGACGCGGCGGATATGGCTACTTTATAAATCACGGTGGATCTAGCTTGTAAATTTCTTTAATATGCTTGAAATCAACACCTTGGATTTGTCGTGGAATTACTGGTGCAAGATGAATGTGGTTGTAAGTACCTTCTTCATGTTGTTCTCCAACCACTGCAACCTCTAATTGATCTCACGTACTTCAGTTCGAAAATCCTTTAGGGCTTTAGTAAAATTTTCTACCCAACGATATTCCATAGCAGGAGTAGGATTAGCTTGATTGCTTAAATCTAACTTGCTAGCTTGATTGCTTAGATCTAACTTGCTCTCAGAATCTGACTTGCTCTAATCTAACTTACTCTCTAGATTTGACTTGCTATGATCTAACTTGCTCTTTGGATCTGACTTGCTTTGATACCAATTAATGCAGCTCTGATACCAATTGATGTAAATTGATGTAGAGAAATAATAACATCATAAACAAATAAAAAGAAAACGAAAAGGTCTGAGAGAATATATCATCTCTCAAGGTCTGCAAGGGAATTCACCCCAAGATTGAGAGAATATATCATCTCTCAAAGTCTGTAAGGAAATCCACCCCAAAATCTCTTCACGAGACCAAAATTTATTAACTCATCGACCCTTTTTACAATGAAGGAAAACATCCTTTTTAATAGACTTTAAAAAAAGAAAAGAAGTTAAAGAGCTGACTTTTCTATTTATCTCCCTTTTCTCTTATCCATATCTTTAACTATCTTAAATTCACGTGCTCTTTTAACCATCACGTAAAACAAATATCTTCCCTCTTAAACTACATTTTATCCAAAACGTTCCCAAGTTTTAAAGATAAACTCCCTAGATTTAACCTTATCCTATTTATATTCCGAAACTAACTAACCCAATTCATAAATATCAACTCACACATAAACTCAATGCCCACAAATATCCCTGCGCACCTCCTCTCCTATTCCTGAAGAGATAAACTAAATAATAATAAACAAATTAAAATAATCATAATATTATTTGCATCACATGTTATCTTGAGAGTCATCTTTGGTGAATCTCATTCACCTTGCGTCTCTTTTTTTCATCCTTCTCTCTTTTTTTCTTGAGGGATTGACCTTTTTTTTTCCTATAGAGAACATATTTATTTTGTAACTCTCACATTTATAGTCTATAGGAGTTGAGATCCAAGTGTAAGTCTTGCCTTAATTCCCTTTAGTGCAATTAATTAGGATTAACAAGTTGTCATCAAACCGTTAATCTTATGAATTGAGCGAAACATGCCATTAATCCACTAATGACTCACACAATAGGATGTCAACCAATTATTCCTACAATTTGATAAAAAGACATTTAAAAATGA